CTCATGTCAAGTACGTGTAGTTTCTAATAGTGTCTGATGGATTCACAAAGTTCTAGGATCCATTTTGGTCCTCCAACATGGTGTAAAAAAACACTCTTCTTACTAACCGCAGTATTTTAAGCTTCTTGTGTCTAAATTACAGTTAGATCAAGAGTATGTGTTCTGGCTCAGGTTGTAAGTCTTGACTGGTTCACATGATGAATAGCAGTGTGAGCACACTGTAGCAGCATTGTTTTGTGTTATGATTCTGATTATCTCAACTAGTAAATTGGACCAAACCAGGGGTTACAAAGACTGCTTTAAAGGGCTTTTGAGTAATAAAGCAAATAACGGAGAAAAGATAAACGGTTACTACTTAGTTTACTATCATTGGTCTGTTACTAGCTGCTAAACGTAAAGATATATATGAAAAAAAAAGTCTAAGGTAAATGAAATGCCTGATAATTCCCATTTTCCTCTATCGGAAAAAGAAAAACAGGAAGGTTGTGGACCAACAAACTTTAGTATATTGTAGTTAAAATGCATTTCTTAAGACTCCACTGGTATCTCTCTACAAATAATCAAAGGCTCAGAGTTTTTCTCTTCTTGTTTCACGTGTGGGCTGAAATATGGGTAAAGCACAGCTTTGAATGAACACTCAGTGAACGAGTAGATGTGGGACTCAGCCTTCACATCGTAGAAGGAGACGAGATCTTCCTCGTAGTCCACAAACACTCCCACCTTCTCAGGCTTCCCTTTCAGGGGAATACGAACTGGTGGTGCTGTGAGGGCTGCATACTTTTCTTCTTCATAATGTACAATAACCCAGTACCCATTATCTGGGCTGAGTTTGAGCTTCCCTTTGCGGTTTGCACCGCCTCTTACTAGGCCTATATCCCACCCCGTCTTGTTGTTGACCTCCACCTCCCAGTAAGACTTCCCAGAGGATAAGGTATTTTGCCCCACAACGCTGCTAAATATATCAAATCTTTCAGAGACACGGGGTAGTTCCTGATTCTCTCCTCCATCTTTCACTTCCTTCCTATCTTCAGACAGCACGAGGCGTTGGTGTGCAGAATCTGGATCCAGTTTTACATCCACTGTGAAATTAAAAAAAATGCAAAAAGGTCTCTATTTTAAACAAGTCACCTTTTTGAAAGAGAGCAAATAATATGAACCACATACCTGAAAACTTTGGGATTCTCCTCAGTTCTGTGAAGAGAAGAAGAGTTTTAGATTGATTAACTCAACATTTCACCTTTTAGTTTTCACTGCTCTTAACTAGCTGCTCTTACCAATGGAAGTTAGTTTATCCATTTCTTGCTGAATTTTTTCCAGCATTATTGTTGTGGTTTTCCTGATGGTGCCAAAGGACAGCGATGTGTCCAGGTTTACCTCATCCCAGTTTATGATGTCTCCCAGATCTGTATGACATGGGTACTTCTGCAAAACAGAAATACAACCCAACAGTTTGATAGCTGTGCTGAACAAAATGTCAGTAGCTAATCAGATATGTTTATCCTTCAGACTGATTATGAATGTGCCACATATACCCTCCCAAAGTTTTCTCTACCTGCAGGAAAAGGATGTGGTCCTCGAGAACAGAAATGCCATCTAGTTCAGAGATGGCCGTTCCAAGTTTGTTGATCTCTGCTTCCAACTCATGTTTAAGGCCTTTCGCTTCTTTTTCCAAAACCTGCCTCCTGTCTTTTAGTGGCTGAAGGGCTCTGGCCTGGGCTTCTTCCACAATGGCCATCACAGCGGCAAACACAGCCTCAATATCCCACCACTCATTATCCAGCTGGTCCTGAAAATGGAATGAAACAGGAATGTCTATTTGACTGTTTACCTCTTTTTCTGTATTACATAGAGTAACACTCTACTTTTTGACTGGTTCAGTTAGGGAAGGTAATTCTGAGAAAGGTTCAGCATTCAGTCAGTTACCATAAACACCATCAATTTGATGTTAGGGAGACCTCAGAGGACACGCTCAGTGTCAGCAAAAAAAACACTGTCAGGAAACTTTCATTTAAAACTATATCACTGACTCGGCATAGTGTTTGAACAAACAAACTGACTTTGTAGATTTTCACTTTGACTCATCTGCTTGACTTTTCTCTCCAAGTCAGTTTACTTGCTGCTTACCTTGCAGCTCTTGAAAGCTTCCTCAATCTCAGCAGTCTTTGTGTTTCTCTTGTCAATGTTCTCCTTTAACTCTGTCTTGGTGTTGTCAAGTTCAGACTGTAGAAGAAAAATAAAATAATACTTGTGTCTCTTTTTCATGTCTCTTTTTCACGTGTACTCCTTTTTTGTGCACTTGAAAATTCTTTCACATGCCACAATATAGTCAGTAAAATATATACAATGCTGTCAAGACCCAAATCACATATTTAGGGGTTGTTATGGTAACTTACCCTTTTCTTCTTCCATTCATCTTCAGTTGAGACAACCTCCTCCTGACCTTCCATGCAGAGAACACAAATGCATGCCTGCCGCTCCCTGCTGTACAGCTCCAAGGGGCGTCCATGCTTCAAGCAGGCCCTCGCATCCAAATTCTCCACCGGCTCCACCAACTTGTGGCCCTTCAACCTTTCTGTTGACAAATGATTGTCCAGGTGAACTGAACAATACGATGCAAGACACACAAGGCAGGACTTCTTGGCCTTCAGCTTTTTGTCACTGCAAACATCACAGGCCACCTCTCCAGCAGCTCCAGTGTATTCTTCATCGTTGTCTTCCTGCTGCATCTCTTTCATTTGTTTTACAATGTCTCTCAGGACTATATTAACATCAGGGATCCTGCTTATATAACTCTTGCATAGTGGGCACCCTTTGTCACCGATATTACAGTGCCGGATCAGACACAGCTTGCAGAACGAGTGACCACAAGCTGTAGTGACAGGATCTGTAAATTCGTCCATACAGATGGAGCAGTGGAGATGCTTCCCCAGCGAGCCAGGCTCACTGGGTGATGCTGAAGTAGGGACCATATCTCCTTCAAGAGAGGACCACAAGGTTATTCACTAAGAAAAGTAACAGTGACTTTTATTTTGTCAAATAAATTTTCCTTGAAATTCTTGTTTTGGATTCAAATGTTAGAATATGCATTTTGTGAGTTGCTTCTAACATAAAGGAAACTGCAACCTTGTAAGGGGTCATCGACTTCATAATGTCCTTTATTAAAGAAATAATAACGATAGTGGACAATATGTACCAGCTCCACCCACAAATCCCCGTACACTTCTATGTAAAATTGCTCAGCTTTGAAGCAAAAACTAAATTTTGGTGTATGTGGCTTAGGTAAACCTTCCTTGCAGCTTTAAAGCACTTGGTTGATATGACACTTTCTTAAATTACTTGAGGCTTAAAGCTATGCATTGCTCGGGGTGTGTCTATTTCCAACTAAGCCACATGATGTATAGTCGTCACCTAAACAAACTGAGCTAACTGAGCTGGACCTCCCGGCTCCCAGAATTAATTGTACTAACCATTCAAAGAGTTTGTGGTCACGATTTGATGTATGAAATTCTGCCATGTCATGTTAGGTAGCACTACTTAGCAGGTTTCTGTGTCCATGTGATACACCTGGTTTACCAAGCTTGCTAGCACTATCTGATGATTTAGCGCTCTAATCTCTAAATGTGTAAATACAGTCGCTTACACAGAAGAAGATGAGCTGAAACAAAGGCTTCAGAATCAGTTTACAAATCCACTTCTGGTTACTTCTAGTGTAAGTACGCCTAACTGAACAAGATTGCTTATTAATTCCACTTTGTAATATCATTTAGTTAAAGTATTATGATTAATATTATTTACCAGGACTTACTTAAATTCAACAGAAGTTATTTGCTAATATTTAACATGTGTGCAGGTCAAAGTATTCACTTTATAATTAATAAAGTCAGCAAACAGTCAAACTAAATAGAATTACATACACTGTAATTTGTGGGCAATGTGTTGGATACAATGACAATTTATTCTCTGAAACTTTCTACTGGTCCCTCTTAAAAGTAAGAAGTAAAAACCACTGAATACTAGTGACACACCCTGTAAATAAGCCTCACAAATGAGCGTGCTGAAGATTGGAGGAGGAAACTCTACACCAAATATAAAGTACCGGTACACACTGTATTTTCTATTACAGTACAGTTGATTACACACATTTGATTCAAATCTATTGCTGTAAGCTAACTGTATATTACATGTAATATCTGTCATTTTAGCATCAGTCTTTTTATATGAAGTTTATGCAAAAAGTACAGCATTACCTTTCAGCTAATGAGATCTCACAGGCGTCTGTCTCCGTTTCTCTTTACTCCCGGTGTGTGTGTGTGAGTGTGTGTCCTTCCTTTTGGACTTCCTCCTAGAGTTTAAGTTTCATTTCTGTTCATACTCCCAACCGTTCACATTTTTCACTCCAGAGACGAGTTGGCATGCAAACGCATAAACAAATCATCTGTGTGCCTGCAGCAGGGCGTGTTGTGTGTGCTCAGCATGTTCATACAGATCAAGTATTGAATTTTGCAAGATGGTTTTATTGCACAGGACTTCGGTCAAAATACTGCCTATTGCTCATCATAAGTTTTATTTTACATACATTTTATTGGTTAATCAAAAAGGAAGACAAGAGCATTTTGGCACTGAATAGCAGTTAATTGCATCACCCACCCAGTAATAAGTTACATTCATACAACCAAGTTCAACGTCCCTGAGGTTTCTAAACTTCACAGTTTCTTTAAACCCGTATAAACGATTCATTTTTAAATATAAAAATATAAAATTCAGTGCATTCATTGGATTTCTGGCATAGTGATACATGAGATCAGTACCATTTACATTAAATGTATGACCACAGCCACCGGCAGCTTAGCTTAGTTTAGCTTAGCAACAGTTTAGCTTAGCTTGGCATTGGAAATCCTGGGAACTAGCTAGCTTTTCCTTTTAAAAAGTATTATTGAGGTTCAAAAGTATAAATAGTTCAAGTTTGTGTTTCACTGTAGGCTAAAAGTCAGCTGGTTGTATCCTTACATTAAATGCAA